AAGTGCAAAAATCTGGATCGGGACATCTCTAATTGGCATGCTAACTTGTTTCAAGTAATTTCTTACTTTTTTTATAAACCTTTTTTCCAGTTAGTGCTCTAGTGATGCCGTTACAATTTTTCCAATTTCTAAATATGAGATTCTTAATTTCTAGCTTCTCCTTTCCAGCATTGCCTCCAACATTGTCTATGGTTACGTTCACCCTGCAGGCCTTGATGCTCGATTCCGATTTCTTTGTAAAATCCGATTTTTCGCATTTCCAAATGTATGGGACTTGTATGTGATCTCCTGCTTTAACTGCATTCATACAACTTAAGTGTCCCGCATTCACAGTAGAGGATGTAATGACGTCACAAACCAGCGGGCTTCGTCTTTATTGAAGTAAACATGGATGTCGTGCTAGAGAACATCTAGCGATCTTTCCAAACCTTAAAAACTCAATCTTTTCAAGATGGTTAAAAAAAACTACTGCTCTCCGCATCATCGTCCGCTAAGGTGTTTGTTTTCCTTGCCACTTCAGTGTAGCAAGAAGCAGAATAGTGACCTATGTGGGTTACTAATGGCGATCAGGTCCGATGAATGCGACCTGGCCGTTCAGACACAGATCGCATTTGAAAAGATCAGATTCGGATTCAGGACCACAGATCCAAGTGGCCTGGGTCACACTGGAAAAAACACACTGTGTTGTTCAGACTGTCATGAAAAAGATCAGATCCAGGTCACATATGGGTAAAAAAGTGGGATTTGGGTCACTTCAGGCTGCAGCGTGAACGTAGCTTAAGTCTGTGTGTTTTTTTTTTGTTTCAAACATCTTATTAATCATGCATGTCATGCAATTAATCTGAAATGAAAATTAAGCTCTGACCTTTTGCTCTGGAAGTCGTCCAGCTGCTTCTGGACGTTGCTGCTAAGGCTGCGTCGGTAGTTTCGGTTCAACCACTTCCCCACCACGCCCATGCCGTAGTGTCGCTTCTTTTTGTCAAACGCAAAATGCTTGACTTGAGAAGCGATGCGTCGGCCGCGGTGAGGGGGGGCCTTTTCAGGCACTGGGGTGGGGGTCTTCATCCTTACTTCGTCCTTACTGCTGGTGGACAGAAACAGTGTAAAGGTGGCTTATAAGCCTTAGTTTAAAAAAAAAAAGATATCATCTATACAAATGATTGACTTTCAAAATGCAGGTTTTATTTTCTACCTTAAACTATTGAGGGTTTAAAAATCTCTATTTATTTATTTATGCTGTACAAACAAAAACAGCTGACTGACTCACAGGCTGGGGAACTTCTGGTCCAGCTGCTCGTTGGACGCAAGAGAGGCCGACATGGGAGGGGATTCAAACACGTCGTCAGCCATGGAGTACATCTCCTCATGAGCATCGACCTACACATCCAAAACCAGGAAGTTAAAGAAGCTCTGCGTCGCTTACAGAGGCTGCTTGATGTGGCAGAGGGGATGGTGGCGGCTGACCTTGCTGAAGAAAAGTGAGGAAGACATGTCTCCTGAGTCTACAGTGTCCTCCTCCACCCAGCTGGGCCTCATGAAGCTCCTCCTGGGGACGCTGCGGACAGAGCCTGCCAACCCACTACGGCCCTAAAGGAAAAGCAAAGCACTGATGCTTTCTTCTGGTATAAGGAAGATGCTCGTGTCGTAGGTAAAAGAGAAGAGACAAAGCTTAGCAGGGCTGGGCGATATTATCACCATATATTTGAGCGATATCGCGATACACATAACGTTTGGTTTTAATTTTTATTTTATTTCATTTTAACCAACTAAAAGCTTTTCACTAATAATTCTGCCA